CCTTCACGGTCAAATATTTCCAAAACCAACACAAGGTTAATTCTGCTCAATGATTTCCTGCACTTACATTTCACATTTCAATGACTGCTCTGTATTACAGTCCATATAAAAGAATAATTTCAAAAAAATAGTGCCTCCTACTGGCTTTGAAACAAATATACTGGCAAAACTCTGATGTTGACTGGGAGCATAATTTAGTGCATGACTGAATAGATCCTCCCTCCTCTCCCCCCACCCTCTCTCTCTCTCTCTCTCTCTCTCTCTCTCTCTCGATCCAGCTCATAGTGGAGCACAGCATGCTTGTGGAGTCTTTACGCACCAATCCCTAAGGAAGAAGCTTACCACTCTCTCCGGCAACACTGGACTGCTCTTTCCCTTTGCTTTCAATTTGGACTTGTTAACTCTCGTATGTTCCCTACGTGATTAGGACCTCCTGGCGGATGTAGCGTGGCTCTGGATGACTCGGGCCACCCTGCTCGAGTCACGGTGACCATCAAGACATGAACACGATAGAAACGTGAGGAGAAGAACAAGAAGAGGAAACACGTTCTGTTTGTTTTTTTAGATATTTAGAAACTGAAATCATGATCCCGCCGGCCAACTCTACCCAGGAGGAGAGTAGTGGGGGAAAAGAAGATGAGCAGAATGAGACTCCCAAATCCCCGAGCAACACGTCCAACCAGGAGACCCGGGTAAGGACTCTTAGCCTTCCCAGTTTTACTTCAAAGTCCTGGAAAGGTTTGGAAAAGTGCTTGGATATGTTGGATAAAGGAGCTGTATTTAAGTACCTAAAATCCTAATTAAACTACTCAATATTTTCTTCTATCTATCTATCTATCTATCTATCTATCTATCTATCTATCTATCTATCTATCTATCTATCTATCTCTATATAAGAAAATATTTAATTGTATTGTTCGAGGATGGCAATTGCTTTTAATTTGATGAAGTAAAATATTTTAATTACCTTGTGTGTGGCAGTAAACTGCTTCCAATTTGAACTGAGAAGTGCTCGACTATGAGTTTGGAAAGTGCGGAGTGTAAATCATGTGAGCTTCATTTAGCTAAAATTATTTGTGCACAGACTTTACACACTAATATGACAATTCCAACATTCAAGGTTAAAGAGTAATGCGTTGTCATGGTGTTGCGATGCCATTAAAACCACCATTGACTTGATTCATTATCTGTGTGACCTCATTTGCCCAGAGGAAGAAACAAACTGTGACCTCTGAGTGCAGTAATTAGCACTAAATAATCCGTAAGTGTAACCTATGGGTCAGAAATGCCCTCTTGTACTCATTCCACCAGATGATGACGTAAATCACCGAGATCCAGTAGGGGGTGAGATTTTCGGAGCAGCTCTCACTGTGATGTGGTGCAAACTACACAATACAGCAATGAATAAATTATCAAATGAATACCTTTCTGAATGTGTCAATAGAAACTAAGCATTATTATTCCTGTCACGTTTTTAGTCGTTCGATTGTGCAAGTGTCTTCAAGTATGTTTCCCCAAACTACGAATTGCATTCCTCGCAAATAAAAACAGAGCCAGGACCCCAAAACTGGCCTCATCTCCAAGTTTGGGAGACACTGAGCTACAGCAGCGCAGTAACTTTGCAATGTAATCTTCCTTTGCAAGGACTTATTTTAGTGGTCATTTTGGTGTTGGCTGTAAATTATCTAAATATATCCGTCATATAAATGAGGCTGTACAAAAGAGCACAGGAGAAAGGCTAAATAGTTTTACAAAGTTCCTTGCAACATAATCAAGTGAATAATACATTTTTTGTATCCCTTTTGTAAGAATACTGCAAGGCCTGAACACCCCAAACGAAAGGTGAGACTCCATCTTCTTGCGTACCCTTAACTTAACCCTCCTGTGATATCGCGGGTCAAACCGACTTGTAAAAATATGTTTGAAAAAAAAACCCATCATCTGGCGATATTTTTCCTCTTTTTATTTATTTCATTTCTTTGATAATGAGTTCTAAATTGCTTCATCATGATGCTCATCCAGGAGGGTTAGTGCATTGCATCATAGTGGATTTAAGCAACCCCATGCATTAATCAATGCGATCATCCAGTCGATGACTCTGCTTTTAAAGTCTCATTTAATCTATTTTTCATTTTGCTGCATTTTATGAGACTTCATCTTCATTCTTAAGCTCCCGTGCTTTATGAGCGGAGCTGCAAGTTAAGTGCTGTCAAGCAAAGAATGTGCTCCTCGTCGCCCCGCTTTTATCTCTGGGGTCAACTTGAACCTATTCAATGTCTCGAAATATGTGGCTGTCTATGATTATGATGATCTGTTTTCAATATTCTGTACAAAAAAAAAACCAAAACAAGATGGCGCCGCGAGAGTGGCTGCCTTTCCAGCAGCTCTTATATTTTGTTCTTCTACTTCTTCCTTTCATAACTTTGCTGCTGTGAATTGGGAATTTCTCCATTGCGAGACTAATAAAGGATTTCTTATCTTATCTTATCTTATAAATCCGAGCTGTCAATTTGACCCCAAACAGCATAAAACGTGTGAACAAATCCAATTTTTACGCACGGTTGTTTGGGATGACAATGAGATCATTGTAAGAAAACGTTTTTTTTTTTTTTTTTTTTTTTAAAATTACTGACAAGCATGAGTACTTGACACATGAACAGTCTGAATTATATTATTTTTTATTTGGTTTAAAGTGCTGGAGACAAATGTACCACATCGAAAAAAGAAAAACATTTGTGAAAAGTAACAAGAGGGATGTAGGTGTGAATGGTCATTTGTCTCTATATGTGCCCTGCGACTGACTGGCGACCAGTTCAGGTTGTCGTTTGCCTTCCGCCCAAAGTCAGCTGGGACAGGCTCCAGCAACTCCTCGCGACCCTGTTCAGGATAAGTGGTGTTGAAAATGGATGGATGGATAACGTAGAGTGCTCTCTTTTCAAACATGTCATCTAGTCACAAATTTTGGGGCTTTATTTGGTTGCTGCCATTGGTTGCAACTCTGTTGAAATTCTATGCGCCGACCCGACGGATTCTGAAGGTGGATAAGATTGACACGGGAGCATCAAGAGCAGGGGTCCCCAAAATGTTTGAAACCAAGAGCTAATTCTTGAGTAATGATGAATGCGAAGGGCTACCCGTTTGACATGCATTTTTAAAGGAACGAATTCGCTCAAATTATTTGGCGCAAAATCATCAATTCATCCCCGTTGCACCCGCTAGCTTTTTTTAGATGAAGGCTGTGATTCGGTCATGCGTTTTGTTTTTTGTTTTTTTGAAAATATTGTCATTACCAAGAGTTATTTAAAAAAGAAGAGCAACCAAAATATTCAATCTCGCTTACTGGTCAGGGTCACTGGCTAGCTATTTTTAGAACAGGCCGCGGGCTACTCATGAGGTCCTTGGGGGCTACTTGTTGCCCATGGACAGCATATTGGTGACACCCTGATCTCGAGGCTAAAATTTGATTGTTATGACATCACTAAGGTAGACTGTTGCAAATGGATGAATAGAATTTCATGAACAAATAGTCTTTAGCTAGGAAATACAGGCCAGTGCTTGATATTGTTTTGAGCAGTGAAGGCCTCACTGGTCCTGACCACACACCACTGGCATTTGAGTGTGCCAAATTGATTCGTCGTTACCCACAGGACTTATTGATCCTCACCGAATCAAAGCTCCAATGATAAGCACTTGAAACTGGGCGCTATTTGTTTCAATATTACCAGACAAAACGTATCATTTACATGAAAGCAGGAGTATCTTCACTCGCAATTGCAAACAAATTCTTCGCGGTATTATGCAGCCTAATGAGGACACAAAGTCCTCATTAGGAGTTCTTCTCAACTCATCAATGATGATAAAACAGAATCAATCCTGCTGCATGAGAACCCTTCAATCTCATTACAGTAGCGCAGGGATTCTTTATAAAGTGACTAAAGGAGTAGGGAGGAGGAGGAGATGAAATGAGCGGTTGTCAGCGTGGAAGGTAATGAGATTGATAAACGGAAGCAGGCGGCTCAATCGTGTGGCGAATGGTACGGAGGCGATGGCCACAACTGCACCACCTGGAAATCACATTAGCATCCTGGTGGGGAAGCTTCCGGATGGTTTTGACGGAGAGCAAAATGGTTTCTATGTCAAACAGACAGCAGGCACTAGACCAGTAGCAATACAGAAACGTGCGTCTTCTTGTTAGCTTGGTGCTTGTTATGATGTTGGGACAAGTGGACATGAAAAGGAACATATCATGCAATTGTTTAACAGTTGAGTGGTCACACGCTGCTCTTGGGAGTGGGAAGTTACTCGCTCACTGAGCGGTGATTATTTGCGAAGGCAGTGGATGTTGCGTTCTCCTCCAAGTTCGCCAGGGTCCGATCTAGGTCGCAATTGTTCGCTAAACGCTCGCCAATATGTTCAAAATTCCCTTTCGACAAGAAAAGTACAGGTGAACATCTGCCATTTCTCTCCAAGGTTGAACGACACAGATGGATGCGATGGCCACAACTGCACCACCTGGAAATCACATTAGCATCCTGGTGGGGAAGCTTCCGGATGGTTTTGATGGAGAGCAAAATGGTTTCTATGTCTAACAGACAGCAGGCACTAGACCAGTAGCAATACAGAAACGTGCGTCTTCTCGTTAGCTTGGTGCTTGTTATGATTTTGGGACAAGTGGACATGAAAAGGAACATACAGTATCATGCAATTGTTTAACAGTTGAGTGGTCACGCGCTGCTCTTGGGAGTGGGAAGTTACTCGCTCACTGAGCGGTGATTATTTGCGAAGGCAGTGGATGTTGCGTTCTCCTCCAAGTTCGCCAGAGTCCGATCTAGGTCGCAATTGTTCGCTAAACGCTCGCCAATATGTTCAAAATTCCCTTTCGACAAGAAAAGTACAGGTGAACATCTGCCATTTCTCTCCAAGACGTTCCTTCTGCTGTGCTGGCCCACCCAGCCTGGTGAAGACCAGTCTGACAAATTTGCCTCGGCCCCCCGGTACACAATCGGCATGGCGCCGCCGCACATCACCACCGGCCCGTCTATCCCGCCCGTGCCCCCTGCCATCCCCTGCGCTCCCCCTCCCACGTCGCGCTCCCAGACGCGCAATCCCCTGCAGGTGGACTCGGCCGGACACTGCTTCATGGAGCACATCTTCAAGAAGCCCACCTTCTGCGACGTTTGCAACCACATGATCGTAGGTATGGGGTTCACACGTGTGACGTTAATATGCGGTATAGCCTGTTAGGATTTTTGTGTTGAACAAATCGATACTCCATCGAAATACAGCATCTCAGAAATGTGACGACAACATTCCTTACATACTATTTTAACGCACTCACGCATTTTTGGCGATGTAAAGTAGCAGTGTAAATTCACAACCCCCTCAAAATAACAACACACACTCTTAACCCCTTTCATACATCCTGTAACCTGATAACATGATAAGCTTGCCACTGTCGTAACCGCTGTCCCTGAAAGGGTTAATGACCGAACTACTGGCAACAACAAAAGTGAGTGCACCCCTAAGTGAAACTCTCCAAACTGGGGGCAATTCGGAAGGAAACTACAGATAATGTTATATTGTCTGTTAAGATTTGTGATGGCGGGAAGAGGAAAGAATCATGTCCACTTTCGACAATTCAAAACCATGAGAGCGGATGAGAGTGAAAACTCAACACACCTGCAATCCATTCACAGCTTAGACCACAGGTATCAAACTCAAGGCCGAGGGGCCAGATCTGGCCCGCCGCATCATTTTACGTGGCCCGCAAAAGTAAATCAAAACATGTCAACTTCCATGATTGAGACTTGCTAAAATCTTGCAAAATTTCAAATTTTCATATGAAATAAATAAGAGCGATATTGTAAGCATTTTCATGTGACCAAACCCCTCATTACAGTCACTTCAACAATAGTTGAATCAACCATTGTTCTTGACTTCTTCATATGGTTCGACAGTCATAATGGCCTTCCAAGGGAAACGGTAACTAAAATGTGGCCCGCAACAAAAATGAGTTTGACACCCCTGGCTTAGATCTTCCAACGCTAATAAGTCACACGACACTCAGGCCACATTGGAAAGCTTTATCGCTGTTAACAGGACACAAATCCAAAATAAATCAGTCAACATTATGTGCAAAGATTCATATAGGCGACGTTGAACACCCACCTCCTCCTTTCATCATGATCCGTCATTAGCAGAAACTTCGGCACAAATTTGATTTGCCATCCATAATAAATACCGGTATGTAAGAATTACATTACAAAAGCAAGAAGAAGTCTAAATATCCTGTTTTTAAAAAGCCATTTTAAGACATCAGTCAATTGTACTTCATGTTGTTTTAAAGTTTGTGGTGCAAAGTCAAATAGATTTGCCGTTGTGTAAAAGTTAATTACATTTTGTGGCGTATCATAAAAATACCTGCACGCCAACTGACGCTGTGTTATGGATTGCACGCAGTGAGTTGCTAATTAAATCAACGCGTACGTGGGCGAAGGACGGGGGTTGTGTGTCTGAATGAGTGTGAAATGTAATTTTCATGTGGGACCTGAGAATAAATAGTATTTTAACAGCTTCAAACAAGGAAGTGGTGTAATAAATGCAATAAGTTAGTCATTTAGGGGAGTGATGGGGCTCATTTTTTTCAGAGCAAAAACAAACAAAAATGTAACGACGACTAATTAGTCTGCAGAACCTCAGTTGCAGGGCGGAGAGCGTAAGCAGACGAGGAGGAGGCAAATTCTCACAGAAAATATGAAGGCGTGAAGTAAGACTGCTGGATTAATGGATCAATGCAAGAGCAAAAACACAAATCAATCAATGAAGGTGAATTAGTTGGCGTTTTTTAGCTCACACACACTACTGAAATACTCTCATACACACTGCTGAAATACTTTTTTACTCAGAACTGAAATACTCTCATACAAGCTACTAAAATACTCTGACACCACTGCAATACTACTCATTCACACGACTGAAACACTTTCATGCACAACGCTGAAATTATTTTTTTTCCACTCATTATTAAATGCTCTCATTCACACCAAGATGCTCTCATATTACGGCACCATTTCCCAAAATGCGATCGACACGCTTTTCAAATACGACACTGACTTTCATAAACACTACTGAAATGATCTAACACGCACTACTGAACCGCTTTGACGATGCAAAGTGTTCTCAAACGGTACTTGTAGTTTTTTGCTTACATGCATGACTAAAATGCGGTCGCACACACATACTACTGAAATGCTCTCATACACCCAGCTGAAAAGCTTGATACTCATACTGAAACACTTTTGTACACCCTACTAAAATGCTTTCACGCACACAACTGAATCGCATCTTTCAGTATATTGTATCAGTGTCATTTTGTATTGATAAGGGGTAAATATGATAAGTTTTTTCCTCTTTCTGCCCCCTTTCATTTCTTTTCTTTTAAAGAATGAAATAAATAACTCAATGAAATGAAAGTGTATCTTGATGTATGATAGGATTTTAGTCGTGTGTATGAGAGCATTTCACCTGTGTGAATAAGACCATCTCACAAGTGTTTATAAGACTATTTCAGTTCCACTTGATGCCATTCTTGTTTTACAAACTAAAACGGGCGCTTCACTCCAACACCTCTTCATCTACGGGAGGTCAATTTACTAATGGCCGCACAACCTGCTTGCGAGTAACTTAGCTACTTCATGATGTAGTGCCGTACTGACACACACACACACACACACACACACCAAGATCCACCTCCCCAGCCCACCCGCCGCTGCCCAACTGTCAGTTTGTGATCCACAAAGCTGCTAGCATGGAGGCGTATTGTTCTGCTCTCCACATTAGAGTGAGTCAGACCAAACAAGCTGATCGACAGCTGCGTGACACAGACATGCGTGTACTGTAACTGTTTTGTATAAAGTTCCCGAAAGCAAGTACTCTGTGCATTGAGGTACCAACGAACTCAATTTACCATACTTCACATGACGTAGCATTTGGCTCATGAGTGATCGATTCATCAAAAAGAGGCTTTATGCTGTTTAAAGGGGAAGGCAACCAGCAAATTTTCTTTACCATCATATGTTCTGTGCAGCCCTACTAGTCTAAAATTGTCATTGTGATTAATGTTGCGTTTGTTGAATATGAGTTAAGCAGCAAAACAATAATAATCAGAATACCGTGTTTAGACTAGTGGAGGCGCGTAGAACATATGATTGTGAATACATTTTTTGGCTTGATTTCCCCTTTAATGTCACTCCCAGTTGAAGTATATATCAAACGTAAAACAAAGAGAAAAGTTGTGTATTTAGAACACCCCCCTGACCCCTCCAAAAAACACAACGCATACTTTTATCATCTATAGCTTGATGCTAATGCTAATTAGTTCCCGGAGTTCCCTACCCTAGTGTAGTGGTACACTCGCCTGACTTGTGTGCAGGCAGCGTGGGACCGGTTCCCTCTCGGTGACGGCGTGTATAGTTGTTCGTCTCTATATATGCCATGTAACTGACGGCCGACCAGTTCCGGAGTTCGTCCAGCTTTCACCCGAAGTCAGCTGGGATATGAGTGTTCTCGGTTGAATTAAACTCGTATCTCAAGGCATCTATTTATTGATCTCCAGAAAATAACTGCAGTAAAAGTCTCAAAGCATCAACATTAGCTGTTGTTAGTATCAAAAATTTTCCGATACATACACCTCAGTATTGGAAAAGACTGATGATGTTATGACCTCAGTTTAACTCTGCTTTGATGACCTGATTCAGCCTGACCTCAAAACAAGACCCGTGTTGTTTTAGCAATGGTGACACACTGTTGCCGCGGCGATCTGCCATCACCCAGTGAGGTTTTAAACTGAGATCATGTTTCTTACTTTTTTCCGTCTTAGCCACAGAAGCGGAGGTTCAAGTTCGCGTCAACGGCTCGTGTTGCGGTCAGCACGTGGAGAGAAAGCAGAGATTGACGGATTTGTTTTCACGCCTTGTTGCTTCAAGTACACTTCCACTTGTAGTTGCAGTCCTTTTCAGGGTTCAGGTGTCCTTCCGGGTTGACTTAAAACATTACCTCAGACTCCAGTATTTAAAAACTACTATTTCCCTAAAAGCAGGTGGCAAAAGTTCACATTGTGTACTTAAGCAGAAGTACAGATACATGTGTAAAAAATACTCAGGTAAAAATATAAGTACTGATTGAAACTCCTTTTCTTTCATAAAAATAACAAAAGTTGAGAATTTAAATCATGAAATTCACGTATAATTGATATCCATAGAAGTTCTTGGAGGGATTTTTTTTTTCAAACAGCCAAATATTTCTACTTTGTTACTTCCCACTGGTTGCTTGAAAGGAAAACAATTGCTTACTGCTGATTTAAAAAGACACCAGTGATCAATGGTGCGTTGGCATGTCCACATTTTCACATGGACAGCGCGGGGGGGCAGGGCTGGAGCAAGTGCATGCTGACCAATCAATACCCGACCACAGACAAAACTATTAAACAAGCTGCCCTCCTTTATGTAGAATACTAGCAGCCGCCATTTGTTGCGCGTGGTTTGTCGTGATCTTGGTTGAATGGGAAATTGATTTTTTTTAATCTATGGGTCTCTGAAGTTCCTGCCTTCCCACCGACTGGGAAATTCTAGAACCAAGTCTTTTTTTTTTTTAAGCTGCCTTTGTCAGACAATGTGTCTTGAAGAGAGGCGATCAGATTTTGGTGCTATTGTGACATCACATTTGGGATAATTTAAATAGTACCTTCAATCCCCCTATAGTACCTATTCCCAGCTGTTTGGTGAAAAACTCACCGATTCATGTTTTTGTACTCTTGCTGAAAGACAGAAGCAGGCCACAAGATGCAGGCAAAGTCGTGTTTAAATGGGAATTGGTGTCAAGGAAATATGATGAAGTGACACAGCTCAACTGAGAGACAGGCTTTATGTTGGGGGAGGATTTAAGTTTAGTCTGCTTGGACATACATAAATGTGTGCACTTCAAGAGTACTTTTTTCAAAGTCAAATCATCTGTGACCCATTTATTTATTTTTTTTAAATTTTAGGGTAATGTTGCTAAATTAGTTTGAAATCATATTGATGTGTTAAGGGATCTTATTCTGACCAGAAATTTTGACACAGACCTTTTTTTTTTAATTTTTTTTTTTTTATTGAGCTGCATTCAGAGATCTAAGACTTTTTTGCACGGACACAAAAGGCCTACTCCTCTGAAATATTGCTCCCAAATCTGTCTAAACCTGCGTCAGTGAGTACTTCTCCTTTGCTAAAATAATCCAATAAATGCCCGCAATAAAGGGCCTCTTTGGGTTCAGCTCATCATGAGAGCAGAAAACAATTATATGCATTTTGCTCAGAGTAGTTAGTGGTATAATTTACAGTAAAGCAAAGCCGTACTGCTCACCCCGCACAGCGCACCCTGCCCAAACAGTTAGGAACAGGGATGTTTAACGAGGATGACTAGTGTGATGCAGTTTTTAATACTTGTGGTATTTTGCCCTGTCGTGGATTTTATTAAGACACAGCCAGGTTTTAATTTGTGGAAAAATGGCAAAGTAGGTCTCTTCTTGGTTCACCTTTTAATACGATCCAATAAAATAGCTGCAAGGCATCATAAAACTATAATGGAGCGAAGTAAGGCGCATGCTAAAACTAGACCCAACTTTCAAGCGTCGAGAATGTGAAGGCGCATAATTGATTAATCCATCTCAGCAGAAATGCACAACATGTATGTGTCACATTTCCTGAGATCTGACACATTTCGAACGCTCCGCGTGTCATTTTTCGCAGGTCTGAACTCGGCCGAGAAAAGCTGCCGACGTTGCGCTTTGAACGTGCAAAGACGCCGACGATGTGAACGCGGCGGTGCTCTTCGCGGTTCCATTTCCTCTGCCTTTTCGTTTCCTTGGAAAACCATTTCTCAGAATGTCACAAAAACAGGATACAAATGTATGTCTCAATGAATATATGAACATATGTCTCCATGGAGAGTTATTATTACATTCTTCTAAAGGGATTTTAAAAGAGACATTAAATAAACGGTAAATGGAGTGCACTTATAAAGCACTCTATCAACACTATGTGGTGCCCAAAGCTCTTACAAAGCTTCATATACCAATAATTGTCCTGTTGAACATCGCTTAAGAATTCCTGCCAGTATATGAGATGACAAATGATCATAATTCACAGAACAGGATGTAATTGATGCGTGTGGATTGATGCTATGGCTAAATTAAGGGTGTTAAATTAAGAAATATGTTGCTATCAATGAAAAATGTAAATGTAGTGCTTTGGTGACAAGCACTGCATCACACTCATAATGCCCCCCCTCCCCCCTCCCCAGTCCCAGTGAGAAACTCTTAACTGTAGCACACAACCAATATTTATTTAATACTCCTCATTTGCATGCAGTGAATCCCTGCGTGAAGACCTGTGAATAATTAATAGAGACCCAAAAAGCTTTATAACTGCCTATGGATGCCACAAAATGGCGGCAAAGCACCTTTTTTTTTCCTATGAGACAAAACTACCAACAATGAAGCTCCTCCCTCCAAAACAAGATGGTGCCAAAGCATTGTTGTTAATTAAAAATAGCATTGGTCTAAGCAACAGAAAAACAAAATGCAACAAAAACAGCAAATAGGTGAGTTTTCAGCAAAAAACAGCGTGTTCCACAAAAAAAAAAAAAAAAAAAATGAATTTACAAAAGCCGAGCCGTACCGTATGTCCATGTGTAACATACTTTGGACAGCAATGGCGGCGGAAAGACCGATTTATGTTTTGTTGCGGCAAACTGTTTGACAAACACGGAATATGTCAGCAGACTGCTGCCATATGTGAAGCGTTCTCATTTGAAGTCTTTGTGTGTGCGTGTGTGTCTTGGTGTGTCAGGTACCACAGCCAAGCATGTGGTGTTCCTGGCGGGCAACACGGCGAAGCACGGCCTGCGCTGCAAAGCCTGCAAGATGAGCCTCCACCACAAGTGCGAGAACGGCGTCGGGCAGCAGCGCTGCATGGGCAAGCTGGTAAGACCTCCTCTTTTCATTAAATGTGCAGCGCCCGGATCACATTCGCATCTGTCAACGGGAAGCGAATTAGTGACGTCGTCGCAGTTGCAATTCGAGATGCATGTCTGGCTACATTTGCCTGATCAATTACGAAGGAAATTAATTGTTATTTTTCGAAAATATTGTGAGTCACTGATGGCTTTCTGTCTCTAACATTAACACCACTCGAATTACGAGCAATAATATTGTTGGTGATTCTTGTTATTTACAACAGCGCCAACAATATTAAAACAATAATCACAATAATATGAATTCATGCAATTGGTATAAATCCTCGCACACAATGAAATGTTTATTACAAGAAATTGATTAATTGCAGCCAAAACGGACACTTTAGTATCGGCTTATTCCCCGCCAGAATGTGCTTATTCAGAAATCACACTCCACTGTATGTGTGAGTGTGCCGGTACATCTGTGACTGCCATCCATCCGTCCTCGTCATACTCCTCTTCCTCCTCCTCATCCTCATTATGTCATCCCTCATGCCAATCAATCTGCAAACCAATTGCCACCAAGCACGCCACCGACACAAAACCTCTGACCCCCGCCGCCCGGCCCCGGGCCCAACGTCATCGCCAACCTATTTGCGTCGTGGTATCGACGCGAAGAAGTGAGAGAGCTTCATTACGCTCATGCGAATGTAGTGCTGATGTCGTTGGCCATAATCAAGGTCACCGTCACTATTTATAATGTAAATGATAGCTTTTATAAAGCAAACCTAACATCAACATAATTAAAGAGGCAGCCAATGCGCAGTATGTAAGATGAGACTTTGGAATGTTCCTGCAGCCCTGGCAAAAACTTGAGACTGTTTTACTGAACCAATTTTTTTGTGCCTAAACCGAATCAGGAACTATTAGACAGAGGTGCGCCCCCCACTCGGTGTAAAGCACAGCCACTACATTAGGTACACAGGGCGAGTCTATATAGCCGATATTAATTTAACCATGTTTCTTAATGCAGGAGTTGTTCTAACACTAACGCAGGTGTGTCTCCATAATTTAGCATATGGTAGAAATATTTGTTTCAGCAGTCACACTCGTTTCATTAATCACACGCGAAAATACCTTTTAAGATGTCAAAAGTAAAAAGAATGTCATATTCAAATGCCTTTTTGAATTGAACGATTGAAATAGATTGAGTTTTCCACATAATTCTAATACTGGGTAGGTTCTGGTTGTTTAAAACCATACATTTGGTTGTTTAAAACCATACATTTTTATACTTTATAAATGGAGATTTTTTTTGTGGGGGGAATACTTGTACAACTGGCTCATACAGTACATCCTGTCGGGGGACGAGTGGAAGGGGAGCAATGATGTGATCGGCTCTCAGGAGTGGAAAATGAGGTCGAGAGGTTAAAGAGGACAAAGTTTCCCCAGTGGGATTCAGCTCTAAATTCGACTCTCTAATCTTGGGACGTTTCTGCGGGCATGCTTGTTTCCCTTTGGCCTGAGAAGCCTTCGTGAGCAAGAGGACATCTGTTGCGTCACTGCGTTCGTTGGACACAGGATTAGAGACACCTGCACGGACTAATGATAATGCGACAAGAGAGCATTACCAATAAAAGTGTTTTTATTAGATAATATAAGTCACCTTTGGTTTTATAATAAAAAGGTTATTATGGTAGTTTGACATTTGACGCATATTCCGTGATGGAATTTGGGAAAAATAAATCCTTAACCCTTCAAAACCTTATGCAATCTTACTCACCCTAACCTGAACCATAAACCCTGTTCCTGCTCTCTATTCACGTATCAGCCATTCACATCTTCATTGTTAAAAAGACTCTACAAAGACTATGTAGCCTCACCACACAAAAACTGAGATAATCAAACCCCAACAACTCTTGAACAATTTCCCAACAACTATGTTTTGCCAAAGTCCTGGAATCCTTCAATAATTGGCCCAAATCTTTCCTGTCACAGTGACATACTGAGTTTTAAACAGCCCAGTTTCTGACCCAAACACAGTACCACTACTGCAGTTATATAATATCTGTCATGTATCTATGTGCTATGGACCAAGGGAACTACTGCAGATGTTAGATTAGACTCCTGTTTACTGAACTAGATTCACAATTACCTATGCCAGCAACAATACACAACTCTTGGTAACTCCTATTTCCCTCTCATGAACCAAGGGTGTTCCTCAAGGCTCAATATTGAGTCCTAGCCTGTTCACTATTTAAATAAATCATCATCACATACGCACAACACACTCAAACGGTCATCTTTATGCACATGATACAGTTCTGCATCGCTCCTCCAAAGTGCAAACCCTGCCAGCACAATCCTCAATATAAATATAAATTGGGGAAGTTGCCGACATGTCCTGTGGTGGCAGCCAATGCAAACTATCTTGGGTTAGATATCAGGCAGGTACATAATAGAAGACCTTGGCATACACCGACTCTCAGTTGTGGTGTCCCTATTTGAGGTCAGACAACTCCGACTTATTCCCCCCTCGCCACTGAAAGGCATCTGTAGATATGGACGGATGATTCATGACGGTCATGCATGATTTACGGCGGTAATCATTCACTTTTTTTATTTAATTCGCATCTGATGTCAATTTCCGCAAAGGTGATATTCTCATCGCTTCTTCATTAGCTTTCTCAGTGACTGAGACCATTTCTCCGACTCCATTTGCACCAAGGTTTTGGTCTTTTCACATCAGTGCTCGTTATTGTCATTTTTGGTTCAGTTTGTTGTTGTACTTTGAGTGTCGGCTCAAATGCGTTTTTCTTGAAAAATAGATCACACACACTTTGATTACACTTTTTTTTTTTTTAAATGTTTTACCCCCAGAATCTGAAATCTCGGTACTGTGATATTCTTGCTATCTTATCTTCACTGTCATGTTAACATTGAATTGTTATGTCTCCTCCTAGCCAAAAGGTTTCCGGCGGTACTACAGCTCACCGTTACTGATCCAGGAACAGTACGGCTGCATCAAAGAAGTCATGCCCATCGGTGAGTGGCCTAACTCTTCCTCATACATTGTCAAATCTACTGACATGGCTTTTCAGATATCCTTTTTCTGTTCCACGACAGCTTGTGGTAATAAAGTAGACCCCGTCTATGAGGCCCTCAGGTTTGGGACATCGTTGGCTCAAAAGGCCAAACGAGCCAGTGGCTCTGAGTCGCCACAAAGAAACTCGGTAAGGCCATTTGGAGTTGATTGTTAATATCTTTAGTCTTGCTGTGTCAAGGAGATCATTTTTGGTTGTTTCTAGATCTTAACATGGTCCAAACCGGGGATCAAATACAAATGAAGTTCTAAATTTGAATTACCGTCCCCCTGAGATGATCTAGTTCAATGAAATTGGGGGTAACTGTGCATCTAAATTGACATGAGATTACTGTAGGTAGGAACGGGTGTTTGCGCCATCGTGGGCGTGAACGCAGCTGACAAGGACCGGCGTTTGACACCCATGTTCTATTTGCCGTGCAATCTGCAGGGTTTCAGTTCCCACTCGGTGAATGTGAGGGCATGACTTTGCCTTAAGCTACAGTTTGTAAGTCTGTGGCCTCATAAAGTCACACTTGCCACCCAAATTATAAAGAGTTGTTGCTAAACATCCCATTTGTTCTCCTCCTCACCCAGCTCTATGTCGCCGGGCGCCATGCATCCGACTGTTGGTCCACCTCAGACACTTTGTTTATTTGGTACCGCTGCCTATGACATGTTGTAGCTGATGGAGCAAATAGATACCACCTCTGCGGAGCCATAAACACTACCAATAAAGGCATTCTGGTCCAAGCAGTCACGAAGCGAGCTGTTGTGCAAACGCTCATGTTACAGCCCTTCGAGATGAATTGGACTGATTATAAACGGGCCACCTCTGCATCTGTCCATGGCGTTTTATTTTTTTTGAAACGGGAGCAAATCGAGGGGCACTAATCTCTTAGGAAGGATTCTTACTAGAAAAACTCTTAGGGCCGGATTTACTAACATCCCAAATAGCGAACGCTCAATTGTGTGTCTACTCACTCAGATGACAGGTAACAGATTGCGGGCTCTGGGTTAACGGTTCCTGTTCTCGTCACACACTGCTCGCTTTCATCTTACGAGGCAAAATCATAACTCCTCATAATGAACAAATAATGACCAAATTGCCATCCACTAGTTACGTCCACAAGGCTGTTTCAGTGACAAACGACGGTGTGAGGATGCTACGCAGGAACACCGAGTCAGCAGGAATAGGAAATCGGACACTGGGGGAAATTACTCCAAAAACAACACTGTCGTGACTGACGAGTACACACTCATTTTGCAAATGAATCACTGCGCCGTATTGCTTAAATCAACATCATCTGCTGGGGCGCTGTTCTCAATGTTGAGGCTGACAAAGTCTGTCTCTTCTTGGATGTGCGCCCCTGTATAATGACATGAAGAAGACGTTCAGGCTGTTTGTGCAGCTGTGTGCGTGCACGTCTGTTATGGAAATAGTATATTTATGCAGGCTTGGAAACACGGTCTGTCTACCCTCACTGGCCCCAGTGTGCACAATCTAATGAAAAACAAAATAAATTAGCAGTGCCACGCAACTGCACTACATCCAAAAGGTGGTAAAAGTACTTGGATGCTATACTTTAGTAGAAGTACACATTCATGTATGAAAAAGAAAAAAAAAAAAAACAAACTCTGGCAAATGCAAGAGTACTAATTCAACTCCTTGACTTAAAATAAAATGAATAAAGCACATACTCTGAAATGTACTCACGTACGAAAGTCGGCAATAAAAAATCTCTTCACACAAAAATTACCGATATGTGCTTTTTGTCTTTCAAATAATGTCATAAATATGTAATATCTTGCCACTCTGAATCTAGTGGTTCACATTCCACCACATTGTTGACTCCCATTTAACATGATTTTGAATGTGATGGGTTCATTTTGGATACAGAAACTTTCCCAGTTACAAGTGGGTGTGCATAGTTGTGTAAACCCAGCTGTTTATTTTCGCTTCCCCTCTTGAGAAAGGAAAAAAATGTTTGTTCACATTAATGGTATTAAACGTTTTGAAACAATTTACTTTGGTCTCATTTTTTCATATCACAAAAATCTAGCCTTTGAACATGGGTGTGTAGAGTTTTTCCATTCGCTGTAAGTACAGCAACAAAATATTAGAACTTTTTTTTTTGTTTTTGTTTTTACATTATTTCCCACCACTGACTGCATCCTCTTATGAGTATCTATCAGTATGACGCAGTGCAGTTTCCCCTACTGCAAACAACAGCCATGAGAATAAATTGTTGAGGTCGTTGAATGATTGAATTCATACCAATTTTTCTTTGCAGACCAGTGACTTGGATAACGTTCCGGAGGAAGTGGTGGCTCATGGCAGCAGACAGGCACTGTCAAGAAAACACAGCGATGATGGTGAGTAGCCAACGAGCCATGTAGCAACAGGGCCGTGGAAAAAAACTCAGGATTCTGCGATCCATCAAATGAGGGTTTGGCCCCCGTTTTTTTCCACTAAGACGGACACATTTTGCGGATGAAAACACAAGAATTATTGTAACTTTGGTATTGGTGCCAATGTTTTTGTTGTTGTTGTTTTTGTTATGTTATTTCAGCTACAGTACATAATCATCTCAGTACTGAAGGGCAAAGTACTGACCCAATCGGAAGCATTCATTGGTGCGGGAAGACAGACGTGCGCAAAGATCAAAACTTTCCGAAGTGGACCTACTCAAGGATAGACCCGAGCTAGGGTTGAACGATTTAGAAAAAGAATCCACTTTTAATTTATTTCTCACGATTGCAATTTAAAATGCGAGCATTTTATTCAAGGTCCTCTTTCCATTTGTTTCAGTTTTTTTTTTTTAATACAAAAACAAGCAAAAATTAACTTGTATTGCAATAAACATCAGGTTTATTGAACTTCGATGTTTCGGTTTTATATCTTAGGCATACCATCAAGGCAGTTTTTGTTGTTGTTGTTTTTGTTATGTTATTTCAGGTACAGTACATAATCATCTCAGTACTGAATGGCAAAGTACTGACCCAATCAGAGGCATTCATTGGTGCGGGAAGAAAGACGTGCGCAAACATCAAAACTTTCCGAAATGGACCTACTAATGGATAGACCGGAGCTAGGGTTGAACAATTTAGAAGAATAATCCACTTTTAATTTATTTCTCACGATTGCAATTTAATATGCGAGCATTTTATTCAAGTTCCTCTTTCCATTTTTTTCAGTTTTTTTTTTTTTTTTTATACAAAAACAAGCAAAAATTAACTTGTATTGCAATAAACATTATCCGGTTTATTGAACTTCAATGTTTTGGTTTTATATCTTAGGCATACCATCAAGGCGAATGAGCCGTGAATGAATATGAGAGACAGTTTATTTGTCTGCTTCAATGATAGTTGTTTACTTACAAAACACTTTTGACTTTCAGTCTTTTAAGCTTTCACACTACAACTTCACAAAAATCCACCAAACGAATGTGGCGTAAACGTAAATCAGTAAGTCAGATTACAAGAAAAAGTCAAACAAATCTGTGGCTTTATAACTTCGGTTTTTCATGTTTCAAGAAACAGTGATATGTGGACTGCACTTCTTAAGCACCGAACTTATCTACACCAGAGGGGCCAGCACAATATCAATTTAATTGAATCAAAAAATGCAAAAAAACATTTTTGAGTTATATTTTTGGAGAGGCTGGAACGAATTATAGGCATTTCCATTCATTTTGATGGGCAAAGATGGTTTGTTAAAAAATACCCTTGACAGACATATTTATATGCTGTGACGTATCAACCAATCTGCTTTGGTACACACATCTTTTTTCAATTTTTTTTTTTAATCCGATTTAATGTGTTTATTTTCACTCAGTTTTCACAGTTCTTGAGAACGGGGCTGAGCACTACTACCATCAGCCAGAGAGAACGCCCAACAATTCAGAGGTGAGGAATGTCTGGGGGTTTGTTCTATACACTGCTGGGTATAGAAAATGCAGCATTGCATCATTCATCTTGTCTAGAATGCCCTCCGCTATTACCGCTTCAGTTCCCAGGAAATGGAGGGACAAGTTCTTTTTCCTGTGGTAACAAATCAAATTGGAGCTGACACAAGCACGGCAGGCCTGCGCTGATCGAGACAAGCCTTGACCTCACTGGTTGGGGCTGCAGACCTTCTGCGACTTTTTTCTCTGCAGTAAAGACAACTCTAGTCAGGGCTGCAAAAATATCTTATCAACTCCTGTGGGGTGACGATGGCGCTCTCATCGGAAGCTTTAAAACCAAGCCCCTCTTTATCTTTTTCTGCCTGATGGAATGTGCAGAGGAGCTTTTTGAGTGCTTTTTTTTTTTTTTGCTTACTTTTTGAGTTTGGCATGTTTATCTCCGTTGTCAGTGGAAAATAGACCATGCTCGGGCAAACATAATAGAGAACAAATAACCATACAAGGCAAACACACAAACGTCCGCTCGCTCCTCAAAGGGAAGAGACTTGAACGCATCACGCTGCGTTCGGCGGGCCGAGCGCAGCTGGCGGCTCGCCGTTAACGCGTCCTCAGACAGGTCCATTAGATCCAGCAAAGGCACAGACAGATGGAGGCGCTGCTGGAAAAAGGGCAATTCAAATGTGTGGTTTGAGTCAAGTAAGCTAAGAGAAGTTATCATAACTTTGACAAGATCATTTTAAAAAGCAGGAAATGTGTGTTGTTGACAGTATTTCAGATATTAAATGGGCCCCAAAATTGTTGTAAGTCGTTACTTATATGTAGTTGAATCGCCCAACTTAAAATGTGATCCAAGTTCGTCAAGAAATTTTGAACATGTTCATGATTTGATGGCGATAAGAAAAACGGTTTGCGATCAGTCAAATTGTTTGCGAATGTTTGCCAAACGTCTTTGCAACATTTTGCGACCTTCCACGAACTCTGGTGGAAAAAAAAAAAACCAACATTCACTACGTGCGCAAACACTCGCCAACCTTCTCCGGTGATCCAAGTTCGTCAAGAAATTTTGAACATGTTCATGATTTGATGGCGATAAGAAAAACGGTTTGCGATCAGTCAAATTGTTTGCGAATGTTTGCCAAACGTCTTTGCAACATTTTGCGACCTTCCACGAACTCTGGTGGAAAAATAAACAACATTCACTACGTGCGCAAACACTCGCAAACCTTCTCCGCTCAGTGAGATACGGGTTTAAGAAAACTGATTAAAACTACAGCTAGGTGAATTTAAACAACAAAAGTCAAAACGAAATATAAAAAATAAACAAGCAGTTTTTGGCCCTATTTGGAAGTGGAAAATTCACTAAGTGAGTCTGGACTACACTCTCTCTTCCACTGGTTCAGACGTCCGCAGCATCAAGGCTGCCATTTAGCTTTTAGTCAGCTCAAATAAACTTTCGCCATTTTATGCTATTTTTTATTATTATTTTTTTTTTAATCATTTTTAATTCCGTGCCCAGAGGCCACACAGGCAGTTTGCCTTGTGCTTGCTTCAAACTCATCCATCCGCCAGTCCTTGTGGATGACACATAACTTCATTACTATCTGGCGCCTCAAGGAAAGCAAACTCCTGCCATCTTGAAAAAAGACCACCTGTCTTTTTTTCTATAGTTCACTGGTCTTTTTTCCCCCCTAGGAAAAAAAAAACACATTTCCTTTCAAGCAGTGTGAAATGTAGCGAACTGACAACAGCAAAACATACCTGACGTTTTTGTGGACGGGTGCTAATTGGCCCAACGCTTCTCTGACAACTTCCTGTGTGTCTCACACCCGTCCCGTTTTAACTTTCGAGATCGCGCTTCTCTCGCGTGTTGACGGTGAATTCAAAATAACAGATTGCGCCTGAACTCTCGCAGCTTGTCCGTGTATCAGCCTTACATAGCGCCGCGTGCCATGCATGTATGGGAATGTTCGGTTTCTTACTTTTCAAATGGTTCTATTTATGTGGTTCAAATGCTTCATTTTTTAAAGATTGTATTATTTTATTTTTTTAGATATATGAAGTATCTGTCGAGTGCAAGAAAAATAAAAAGCCCACAGGGTATTGTGTTATGAAGTAAAGTGAACTACAATTCTCAAACAGCTGTTTGACCTTCCAGCTTTTCTACAGACGAACAACAACGCCAAAATAAACACATTTAAAATGAACGTCAAAAGACAGATGGATGATATGAAGTGGAAAAAAATAAAAGGAAAACTGTAATTATACAAAATAGTTCATTTTGGTTCGTTTGATCAACATTAGATGTTTCAGTTAGTTTCCGTTTTAAATAAAAGCATTTTCGTCTTTATTTCGTGAACAAAAATATTTTCTCATTTGTAATTTTAGTTTTGAGGCGTTGTGTTGTAGTTGTGTTCAGGTGCTGTGCGGAACTCGCCCCTGAAAACCGACTCACGCGTCGTCGTTGCTGTGTGTCTGTGTGTGTCTAGCTGGAAGACAGCCAGCTTCACCAAGATGCACTCCAGCTCAACACCTACGTGGCCTTGTACAGCTTTACTGCCCAGGAGAGCCATGACCTGGAGATGAGGCTAGTTTGCATGCGGGCGCGCGCACACACACACACACACACTCACACACACACACACACACACACACATAAATATCACAGGTGAAACAAAGTGTGATGCATTATGAAAAACCAAACATAAAACCCAATTTTTAAAAAATGACTGAATGAATACAAACAAATAAATCAAATATCCCTGCAAACGGTTAGTGAAATGAAAACATATAGTCCTTGGGGGCTACACACCGTGCCCGCGGGCACCGTGTTAGTGACCCTTGTTCTACATCAGTGGTTATTCACTTTTGCTGGTGCGAGACTACAGTTGCCCAGCTTGGCATGACCAATCATGCAGATAGGACACTGAGTCCCATCGCGGTCTGTGCGGTCACGGTCTGTTGTACATATTCGTCCGACCACTTTCTTTCTTTGCGCGACATGGTTAGCATGTATTAAAATACTTAAAAAAAAAAACACATGACATACTATCACGACAGTCACACGTTGACTACTGAGCGAACTACATTTCCCGCAGCACTGATTGGACAAGCGATGTAATGTGATCATCTGCAGCGGGCGTGTCATAACTAATTGGCATGTTGAGTCGGGTGTGTCTTAACCTCCATGGCAGAAGCTCCATCGAACCCCTGAGACCGATTCACCGAACCCGTCGGGTTCGCTCGAACCCAGGTTAAGAACCACTGCTCTACATGTTGCATTTACACACACACACGTGCACACAGCATCCATGACAATGTCCGCTGTCACTAGCACGTGGAACAGCTGTCCCAGGACTGCAGATGACGTTGAGGGTGAGTCATGGTGACCTACATTCGCTGACTCAAGTAATTACTTAGGGGACTACTTGAACTTAATCGTGATATCATTCTAATAATAGTCTTATTTGAGTACATTTTATTGCTACTCTACCAACAATGACTACTTCCCTATTATCTCGGCCTTTGGTGGCATCTCAGGCCATTACAGAAATAAGTGAATTTGGGAATCACAAACCGCAAACAGGGTCATTGTAGAATAATAGTTATATGCCATCTCTTCACAAATAGGAAGCCCGACTTCCGAAATCTGTATCTTTCTGGTTATCGGCAATACAGCTTGAGACCATTCATCAAACTTTACCTATGCTGCAGTTTCTGCTGTAAAGGTGTCAGACTGCCCGATCTATGTCACCGCACTCTTCCACACACTTTGGAGCAGGCTCTTAAAGCGCTCGTCATCATGGGCAGCCCTTCATCTCAAGCATCCATTTGTTCCAGTTCCCACCAAATTACTCATACGGATTTAAAGACACGAGAGTGCACTCTCTCTGACGCACACGCACAAACGCTCGTGTAATTCGCTGTCCCAGTCTGATCCCTGTGGTCCGCTAAACGCGTTCTATCACCATCATTTTAATCAGCATATTCAACAAAAATTAGGGTTAAAAAAAAATCCTTTTCAAATAATCATTTTACTTTTAAGTGAGAAAATCAGTTTTGTAGAGGAGTTCCAATTCTGCTTGATTATTTGATTGCTTCAACAACGTGGTGATTGTAATGATGATGAGAACTGCCAAGTCCAACTGTCAGAAATTTCTACCGCGTCCTTTTCTGAAGATTTGGAAATGTGGGTGTTTTTTTTTTGACCACACTGAACCGTTTTATTTATTTTTTTCTCAGTAACTGTGATTATTACCAGGATAACGACATACTCCAACAATCACAAGAGGTGGAAATAGGGGAAATTACGTAAAAAGCCACATTTTCCTCAGTAGCGCTGTTCCTTTTCCTTTTTTTTTGTTTTTTCAAGCATCAAACTTTGCCAAAAATGACTGTGAGCAGATGCTTGTAATTACTACCGCGCATACAGACATGCGGTACAGTGATTCACGATTTTCCTGGAAAAGAAGAATTCCTCGCAGTAAAACGAGATTGGTGCGAATGACATGCTGATGATAAACACCTTCTTTTCTGGCTGCGCTAGCTACTTTCATCACAAACACTATAATCTGTTTGTTACATTCACCCTTCTTTAGATATTTTAATGTACTACTTATGTTTTGTTATTTAAAGCAAATGACATTTAACAAGGTGGAAACAGTACGGTTACCGTGAAAATAATCATGACTGGAAAAAGGGTGGAATAGTCCTTCAATAGGCTGCATTTACATTTAAAACTTAAGAGGATGTTGGCTTGATCTTTAAATACTCTTTAAACTAAAAAGTTCAAACCAAGCGATAATGCTATTTCATAGCAGCTAGCGTGCAAATACAGGATTCCATTTTGCTACACACCCGTAATTAAATGACAACCTGCAGTTTTATGTCACTCAATACACCTAGATTAGCGCTTTTTTTTTTCCTTGAATTTTTCAGTGAATAACATAAATCTGAAATAAATCAAGGAAAAATATAAAAATTTAGCTAGCTTTATGTGCAGCTCGTGTACTACTTCAAAATTCAATTGTTGTGGGGAGCGGGCATGCTAGTTCTAAATTGTGGTAGCTCAGAAACAGATTTCATTTTATTAGAAAAGGCTCTTTTATTTCAACCAACTGATACGGCCTTTTCCCATTAGTTTACCAATGAATAATGCACAAACCGTTGAAAAATATAGGAAAAACATCCGATTTAAATCTAGTTAGCCTTCCAAGCAGTGAGCATGCTAGCTCCCGATTGCATTGTGGTACAATGTCATTTGAGTTCATAAAGCTCAGAAATTCATTTCATTAAATGACAAAAGCCAGTTTAAATTCACCTAATAGTGGCAAAAAATAACTTGGAAAAGAAATACCCTTTTTGTCTTACTTTGTTTTGCCTTTTATCGCAGGGCGGGAGACCGGATATTGCTTATTGATGAATCCAATGATGATTGGTGGAAGGTAAGCATTAAATTACCTTTACGCACTGTGACTTTGTGAACCTATTATGAAGAATGAATTGTTTTCCCGTGGCAATGATAAAAAGCGTGTGCGCGTATTTTCATCAATCACAACTAAATGAAGCCCAATGAAGTGATTGATGAGCTGAGCAGCAAATAATAACAACAGAAAAGTCAGAAAGGCAAAATTGTGTGTAAAAAAAGGGAGAGGAAAAAAAGAGCTGAGCAGAGGCGGCATCCTGCTAGCAGACCAAGAGTTAACTCATTGTGCAGCTAAAACTGCTGTTTCTCATCAGGCTGTGGATAAACACACACATCTGGAGTGTTCTGAGTATTTTGCAAGTGAAACCAATAACGCTGAAGCTGACATAAGAACTGCTCATGTATCAACTATCATCTGTTTGATATTTTCCAAGGGGGTGATTGAGGACAGGATCGGTTTCTTCCCGGCATCCTTTGCACATCAATTGCGGACGGGAGACCAGGTTTTTAGGTGCAACAGGACGTTCATCGGCTGCAGGGAGCAGGGCCAGATTACGCTAAAGGAGGGACAGGTACGATTTGGTCTTTTTTTTTTTTTTTTTTTTTTTTTTTAACATGACAAGGGAAATCCACGATGTTGAAATGTTTAATTTAAATACCCGTTAGACATTAGCATTTACAAGAGAGAGCAAGAGCAATGGATCAGAGAAAAATACAAAAAGTGCATCAGTGTACCGATCCAAATTCTGTTTTTTTCGAACTAACAATCTTATCATCTCACAGTATACATTAATTAACATGCCCAAAGATGTACAGTATAAAATGAACCAACATTCGTTGCTTAGTGTAGGCGTAAAAAGCAGGATTGGCCATTGAGTGAAAAGAAACGTCCTGATATGAGGAAGCAGCGACCTTGACTGACATTTTGAAAGTCCACATTATACCAGTCATTTATGACCATCAAATGGATATTTGATATCTTGTCCTAAACTATCTTTAAAGAACTCTCAGGAGGCTTTTTATGTCACTTGCCTTCGCATCATCTCATCAAAAGTTTTTTAGCACCCCCCGCCCCGCATATGACTTATCCGTCAAATATGCATGCTCTTTAATTAGACGTCCTTTTTTTCCCACAATACTCATGGTGGGACTCCAGAGGAGAAGTCAAGGAAACAAACTCCCAGTGAACATAAAGCCATCAACCACGAGAGCAGCGTGTTCCCAAAAAACTGAGCAGCGAACATAATGTGATCGTTTGAGGAGAACACAGGTCACACCAAATGATCTGGAACATTTTTGTGTGTTGGTAACAGCACTTGAGAGCTCCTTTAATTTGAAATTTAAATGGTCTCACCTCACCACGAGGAAGAGAAACTGCTCTCAAATTGTGCTAATATATTTGAATCACTGCTGGGGAGCACACTGTACATTTTAGAATCGGCGTCTCTGGTCAGGATGCATTTACATTTTTTTTGTTTGTTTTTTGGCATGGCTTCTGTAATTGCGATGTGAGTGGTGCTGTAAAGAGGAGGATTAAGTCTAAGAAGATCTCACTGAAGGCCCAGGTTACGAATGCATGAGCGACCGACCATGCATGCAAAATAAATACATTTAAAAAAAATATGCCTGTGTGATACATGACAGTCATCAACAACAGCATTTGTCGTTTTTTTTTATGTGGAATAAATGAAACCCTTTTCTTCTGGACTCTGCAGCAGAATGATACACAGGTTGTAACTTAAAATGTTTCGTTAGAAAATGGAAAGGTGTACATTTCACAAAAAAATAAATAAAAAAAGAATGCATTGGAAACATAACACAAAATAGTTTGATATTATGAGATCCCAGGATAGTACTGTTTAACAAGTGTCAGAAAAAGGATGAGAGCACCCTCTGCAGGACAAAGCATGTAATGACAGTATCACTCGAAGTTTTGAAGAAAAGAGAGAAACATTACATTGGTTGACCGGAACGTTTTCACCATGTGCACTTAATGTACATATTCTAATTGAGTAAATCCTACGTTTTTTTGTTTTAGTTTTTTTCAGTGAAGGAGTATCATTCATGACTGTCCCTCTCCCACCAGATTTGCGTGAGCAGTGAGGATGAAGGCAACGGTTTCATCAGGGTGGCGAGTGGCAAGAAGCGAGGCTTCGTGCCCTGTGACGTCCTCGACATCATCTGAGGAGGATGACAGGAAAGCGAAGGCGGCATCCACCGGCCCCTGAGGGCAGACAAGGTCGACGCTACGGACTGCTTATGAGGCGGGGGGGCTGCTGATGTCCTAATTTCAACGGTGGACGAGAAACAGAACACACACACACACACACACACACACACACACACACACACACACACACACACGACAATACAAGTGCCGCTTTGTTTATTGAGCTGCTATCACTGGATTTCATCTTTTAATTTATAGTTTCAACAAAGCGACAAGACGGCTCTCTTTCAGTTTGAGTTTCAATGAGTGGAATACCCTTGAAAATAATTTTTTTTTTTAATGTCATTGATTCTTTCAACAAGGTATTAGCACGTTTATTTTAAGGAGTATTATGCCACACTGAAAATAGAAATGCAATTCTATGAGAATAAAATTGTAACATTAGGCAAATTTAGGCATAGTTTGGGGGGGGGCGTAATTTTTAAGTAATTGATTTCAGATCTTTTTTTATATAATGAGAAAATTTGAATTTGCTTTGGAAAAAACATTTTGAAAAAATTTTCATGATCTCACAAATAGTAAAGGTTTTGGTTTTCTTTTTTTCGATACAAAGTAAATTTCCTCCTCCTTAAAAAGTCATAACATATTTGAATTAAACATAACCTTAACTAAACTCAAACTATGCATCTCCTTGTGGCGTCATTTTTTTTTTCTTCACACACAACTCCACACACTAACTTCAGAGAATTTCTTTTTTATTCAAGAACAAAAATGTATTTCCGGGGGAATTTGTGAGAAAAAAGTAATATATAGTATTTTTTTAAGTCATGTTGCAAGATTAAAGACAAATTCTAATGGTTGAAGAACAGATTTATGGAGCCCATACAATTCTGTGAATATTATGACTTGTTTTTCTCAAAAATATAGACCTTTATTTTTTTTGTTTGTTTTGTTATTGTACTTGTAGTGCCTTCATGATGTCATCTGTTCTCTACGAGCCACTCGTTTCAGTAGTTTGGCGACGATTATTTTTCAAGACTGTCAATGGCATCAAATGTGATGATGAAGGTTGACGTAAACAACACACTTCAGTTGATGATTCACAAGCCGTCTGTCTGCTTAATCAGTGTCATGTTGCAAGGTGGTGGTGGACCCCAAAAAGCAGGCAAGAGGGAGGAGCAGGGTGTACTTGACAAATTGTATAAAACACAGAGAAAACTAAATCCAAAACAAACACAGTCCAAAGTATCAAACAAAAATCATGAAGCTAAAGCTAAAACATAACAGTGACCGAAACATGACTGAAACAAACCTGACAGCAGCAAACAACAAACAGCAATGACCCAACAAAGAGTGGTCTGGCGGGAGTCCTTTTATACTACTAATTACATAATCACCAACAGGTGTGCAGCTGCAGGGGAACCCCTGCAGTGCCACCTGTTGGTCACAAACAGAATCATGACAATCAGTGAAGACAAAAAAGGACTTGCCATTCATATTCAGAACCGTTCAACGTTTGTACGCCCCTCAAACTTCGTGCCCATTGCACATCTAATGTGTGTGTGTGTGTGTGTGTGTGTACACATATATGTATGCTGAATGTCCCCCAACAGTATATTGTACATAGTGTATGTAAAAGATTAAAATAACTTCTTATTACTCTGGAAGCTTTGTGGTGAGTGGCATTTTTTTGTGTTTTGATCTGGCTTCAAATTGAATGCAGTATATGACTTATTAATGGATAATCCTAAAATTTGACTTTATCATTCAATATGTGCAAAACTAATTTGGCTGTGAGTTTGCAAATGTTGCAGGGAGCGGGGGTGGTATTTGATATTTGATAGAAGGCATTAAACCTGTCTAGTTAATCTCCACATTATGATGTTACAGCATCGTCAATATTAACCCTTTATGCACCCTGTAACCTGCTAACATGACAAACTGTCCACTGTAGTAACCGCTGTCCCTGAAAGGGTTAAAGGCACTCCTGAGTGACTCTTTTCATTTGACTTTCCTGCATTCTCTTCTTTTATGTGATGGAGGCTTAGGTCTAATTTGGCTTGTGTGCGGGTGTGCGTCAGCAGCACATTTCCACACGTTTAGTATATGTGACAGAAGATAAGATTGGCACACAGTTGAAGCGGCATCAATCAGTGTTGCCTGTTTGCAAAGGGAAATGCCCCACAGGAGGACAGCGGGAGCAGTGGCCACAAATTAATTGGGCAGCTTTATTACCTCTGTCAAGGTGGTTCTGTTTTGTCGACTTATATTTGGTTGACTCATTAGTATGTAACATTCTGCCCACAGTTTTTGTTTGATGAATCTGAAAAAATCTTACAGATGTTAGCTTGATGTTTGTCCTACTGGGTTTGGGAAAACATTAAGAAATGAACTTGATTAAATGCACTTGAATCAATGAATCAAATATTTACTGTCCTACTCCAATCATCAACCCCATCTGCTGGATGAAAATAATTAACCCAACCTTGGGTAAAAATAATAATAAAGTGTTCAATCAGCCTGCCATGCATGTTTTTGGAAGGTGGGAGGAAACCGACGTACCCGGAGAAAACCCACGCAGGGAGGCCAGAGCTGGACTCGAACCCGGTACCTCTGCACTGTGAGGCCGACGTGCTAACCACGGGCCGCCAATAGCTAAACAGTTATGTCAAAAATAACCCAATACGTGTCAAAAAGGGACCAAGACAAAATTTTGGGTGACACATTGAACCCAAAAAGAACGCACAAAACAACCCAATCTTTTGGCTTGTGCAAAACAACGATTTGACCCAACTTTTTTTGTGAAATGAGTAACCTAAAAAGTTGGGTCAGTTCATTTTTTTACCCATATTGGGCTGTTTTTTTCACCCAGTTGTATTTAGAGCGTGTAATATATTGTTTTGTAAATCCTGTACAAACATAAAACAACCAGTCCTACCTCTTTCCCAAAGTCCACCCATGAACCGAATGAGGATAAGCGCTGTCGAAAATGGATGGATGGAAAATCACAATAGCCTCAAATTAGATTGACTATCAGATGGAATGAGATTATTCATCTGCGAGATAGTAGTTTTATTATCGCAAATCTGGTAATCCCGTGCCCTTGTAAATGTGACATACCAACACGCCCAACTATTACCGAGCCGAGGCACATATTTTACAGAAATACCTTACAGCACACCACTTAAGAAAACAATGTCACCCAAAATATGGATACTGAAATAATGATTTCGTCCCAATGCACTCACCAATGGATTAAGTCGATTTAATCAAACACAAAACTCTTATTATTATCCATATATGATTATTTTTGGACCATTTAAATAGAATTGTGTCATTTCTGACGCCACGCACTGGATTAAGGAATACCCTTCAAGTTCAACAATATAACTGCTTGACATTGGCGGTAGAGAGGGGCTGGTTCATATCGGACAATTCAGCACCCATCATCCAGATTAAAACATACACGAGCTTCACCACCGCCCAGTGCGGCTGAAATAATTAATTCCCTGTTAAGCACACGCACGCTCACTCACACACGCGCGCACACACACACACACACACACACACACACACACACACACTCTTCACTTCATTCCCTTTTTTTGTATACTTATGCTTCCTCAATGCAAAACAGGCACTTTTTCAAGGGCAACGACTGATTATCAGCGACTGAGTGTTGACTGTGTGTCTCCGTATTCGTGTGAGTGTGTTGCGCATGCTTGTTTCGATGCGCCAGCCACATGAACTGACATTATTTTTCCTTGTCTGGCCCTTGCAGGTGTCCACCCAGATGGGTTCTCCAGCTGCAACAACCTTCTGTCCCAGAATCCACTTTCTCCCCATCCCAAACAACTTATGTAAATGCTTTGCTAAAGCTGGTAAAATGGAACCAAATCAACTGTTCAATGGATTTGGTCCCCTTCAACCAGCTGTAGCTGTGCATTGATTGCTCCGACTACTCACCCCAACCGCTCGCACCCCTGTCACATGCGTGTGCCTGCAAATACGAAGGACCAATTTATGCAAAGAAGAGTGTTTGTTGCACCACTTTCAACAGCCACACGCACGCTCTCTCCCACACGCGCGCCCACACACACACACACACACACACACACACACACACACACACAGACGAAACATCTGTGAGTTCTTATCTGCCACGGCCATGTCAGTGCTCCCCCCTTGTGAGGACAAAAGCAATGCTGGTGTTTTACGGTCCACACGTCACCACGCCGCCTTGGCCTCCATCATGTTCAAACACCACGCAGGAGATAACCAGGTCTCCTCTGACGCCTCATGTCTTTTCAATCGCTGGCACGGAAAGAAACACGGTAGGGGCAAATTTCAAATTAAAAGCAGATAGGTCGTTCTCAGCTAAAATACATTTTCTACTCGTGACCTTTGCATATTCGTACATTTCAGATTCTGTCATTTTGACCTAAATCTAGGTGTTGAATCTGTACTGCATGGTCTTTTTTTTTTTTTTTTTTTAACCACAAGTATCAGTTCTTCGATTTCAGTACAGAGTGAATATTTTTGCCTGCAGAAACAAGCATGTGGTCATATCTCCATCTGCTGTCCATAATCCATTTATCGAACTCTTATGTATCCAGTCAATGTGTTCCAAAATATGAAGCATATCCTGTTTTTGTAATTTTTTTTGTCAAAATAGTCAACAGTTTTCTTAAACCAAACATCAATTAACCTCTTGACATTTTTTTTTCCAGTGAAACCACTCTTCAGCTATTTGCTGAAATCCTCACCAATTCACATTTTTGTGCACTTTTTGAAATGCCCCATGATGCCACAAGATGGTGCCAAAGTCTCACCAAAATAGGAAAGCAGCACGGTAATTGGTCCACGGACGCATGTTGAAGTGATATATCTCAAAGAAGAGAAACTCTTCGGCGGTCGGGGAGGAGGTAAGTTTAGCCTGGGTTGTTATGGGGGCGTTGCATGAGTTTGAAAAGATGATTACATTTACTTCCACTTCACCCAGCTTCATCTTTCCAGCCTGCCCAATTCCAATAATTCAACCCAATCTGGTGGGTCAACATAATTAACCCAAATTTGGTGAACAGTAACCCAATTTGATCAAAATCCTCAGATATTCCGCGAGTGGCATAGCGGGGAAAAAATCCAGCATATTGA